AAGAGCAATCATATTACTTTTTAATGCACAGATATTGTCGGATAATTATCAAATATCGACATTTTCTCGAAGAATATTGTTTATAATTACGTAATTACCTTCTGATTTCACATTTATGACCCTCAAAAATAGCACAAGAAGCACAGGTTTATTCGTTCGAATCCCCTAACAGTTTCTTCCGATTGTATTCGCCTAAGGTAGAAAACGCAATTTTTGATGCTGAACTGAAAAAACTCGCAAAACAGGTTAGTATAATATTTAACATCGGTGTTATTAAATGTATATACCATTTATATTTTATATCAATTCTTTTAAATATTTGTTTTGGTTCTAGCTTCTTTCCGTTTGTGTTTCGTTAGGAGAAAACCCTTTGATTCGTTATCAGAAAGGAATCGATCTCGATCCTGATTATACGAACAAATCATTACCTTTTAAATTGGCTCAACTGGTACAGGCCGAGTTGGATAATTATACAAGAATTAAAAGCAAACTTGCGCCTGGAAGTCTTCCTGTAAGTTGTTTGGGTTTAAAGATGTTAGCAGTATTTGATTTATTAAATAACTTCTTTTACATAAATAGCTAGAGATACAACGCAAGCGATGTGTTTTGTTTATTTTGGATCGCACTGTTGATATGTACACTCCGATATTACATGAATTCACCTATCAAGCCATGGCTAACGACCTTTTGCCAATTGTAAACAGTAAAAAATATACATATAGTTACGTCGATGATGAGGGTGCTCCAGCAGATAAGGATGCTATGCTAGATGAAACCGATACGATATGGGTTGATATACGGCATAAACACATGAGGGACTGCATCGGTCAACTTATGACAGATTTCAACAAATTTTTGGTAGAAAACGCAGGCTTTAACGACAAGTGAATATAAATTATATATTATGTCATCTAGAATTAACTTCTAAATTTTTAAATTAATTATTTTATCCTTACAGAGATAAAGCTGCAAATTTGAATGATATAAAAAAAATGTTAGCAACCTTACCTCAATTCCAAAATATGAAGGAAAAGGTCAGTAAAAATAATATAGACTTATTTAAGCACAAAGATACCTCCGGCTTCAAATTAACTTTAGTTTTAAATAAAGTATTCAGTTCATTTGAGTATCGCACAAGAATGTATGAGCGTGTTTGATAAAGAAAAGCTTGCTGAAGTAGCCACAGTTGAACAGGTATTTAACATTACCTATGTATTCATTAATTTTGGGATTTAAATTTACATTATTATTTTTATTTTATTTTATTTTATTTTATTTTATTTTATTTTATTTTATTTTATTTTATTTTATTTTATTTTATTTTATTTATTTATTTTTTTTTATTTTTTATTTTTTTTTAAAAAAAAAAAGAATTGCGCCACTGGATTTACATCTGATTCTCAAAATCCTAAAAC